TTTGTNCCTTCGAAAAGGGACAGAGGGTCATGCTGGGAACACACATGATTCCCATATTATCTTAACTCTCCCCATTAGATTGTTGGGAGTGGAAGATCCTTGTTTAAGATAAAATCTGGTAATGTTAGTTTTAATTAAAACAGGACCAGCGGCATAACTGTTGTCATGGCGATGGCACGACAGGTATCATTTTGTTTCTTTTGTGATGTACATTTCTGGTGCCAAGTTTAAAGAACACTGCGTTAATATTTCTAGAGATATTCTTGATTGAGTGTTGAACCGTTTTAGTGGAACCACCTATGACGTCATCACTTATAATACAAAAACGTGAATATCTCTAAAATGAAAAAAGATATTCCAGAAAGGAAAACGCCATTCTTCTTTACTTTGAAAAGCCTTTCAAATCAGCAGCAATTAGTTTTAACTTCATAGGCACTTTAAAGAATGGTAACCTCTACAGAAGATTAATTGACTGCCTGACAGACAAGACGATTGACAAAAACAGTTGGACGGATGGACTGAGCTAAGTTTTTGGCTTGTGTGCAGTACCTCCCACTTTTACAATCAAGTTCAGAACAATACACCATTGATAATAACTACTAGAGAATCAAAACATGGAATTATGTGTATATGACTTGCTTACTCGCAGGGGGTAGACTCTCCTGACATTTGGGTGGTGTGCAGCATGTTTTTTGAATTGAAACAAAACTTTGTCCTTTGTCTTCTGTTATCTTATTTCAGTCTTGTCTCTTAAGCCCCAAAATATCGTTGGCCTGATAAAGGACAAACCTTATCCAGAAACTGTTTGGGTTGCTTCAAATTCCTCATAGTTATTCAATTGGTAAAATATAAAACTACACTTCCCAAGCCGGTTGAGTCAATGAAAAGCCTGAATTAATGATAAAAAGTATTTTCTTCAAATAGTAATAAGTGCTGACTAGAGTACACAAACAATACCTGACCTCGATTGTCTTGGGAGGAGGTGTTCAACAAGAAAACTGGATATATTTGGAAACCTTTTTTAGAGAGAACTGCATGAACCTCTCTACGCACCGGCTGCATTACCTTTAAAACATTCAACCAATCAGAATTTTGCGTCTTAGTTGTTTCCCATGCTCTCTTCTTGAGTAACACTTCACCGTCAGCAGAATTATTGCTCAGCGGATTTTTTCATACCCAGTCTACTCTCTGCCCAAAAAGAAAAGATGGCGTCCAGTTTGGCAAACCTTTAGGATTGCTTGTAATATTATTGGAAATTTCCTTTAAAATGGATCTTTTCAAGGTAGATCGGTACATGGGAGATGATGAAGATGAGTGTGTTCAACGGGATGAAACTTCAAGACTTGCCCAATTACAACGTGTCATCGCAGATCGAAAGAGAAAAAGGCAATCTCTGGATCATGAAGAAAATAACCACGTGAGTTCGAACAGCATGGAAATTTTGAGCCTCAAAAAGCTAAAGTCTGACGCGCAAGAAGAAGTAAGCTTACCTAAGAAAGCCAAGGAAAAGAAAACAAAACATGCAAAAGAAAAATCAGACAAGAAAAAGAAGAAAAGGTCTCCAGAGGAAGGTACATCAATGGACGATGTTACGGAGCTTTCTGTTGAATCTGACATCTCGACGGATAATTCAGAAGGGAATAAAGTGACTAAAGTTACGAAAAAGAAGGATGCGAAAAGATACAAGAATAAAGGTGTGTCAAAAGAGGAAAGAATGTTAAACAATGAAAGAAATAGTGAGCATAAACCAGACGACATTACTCAAGAAAAACAAGATAGCCTAGAGGAAACTCTAGGGGAAACACCAGAAGGCAACAGTAAAGGAACAGGATTTACTGTTATCGGAGGTCAGAAAAAAGACAAAGAAGTCAAAAAAGTGCAGAGAGTATTGCCTGACTGGCTTGCTAAACCTACAACTATCAATTCTGACTTAAGCAGAAATTTGATTCCTGTAGAAAAAATTCCTTACTTGGCTGCACATATAATCAGAAAATTGCAACAGCATGATATAAATCACTTATTTCCTGTTCAGAGTGCCATGATCCCTGCCATACTATCTCAGATGGAAACTAACAGTTGTTTTGGCATTGGTGGTTATCAACCTAGTGACATATGTGTGTCGGCACCCACTGGAAGTGGCAAGACTCTTGCATATGTGTTACCTATTGTGCAGAGTCTGTTAAGAAGGGTGGTATGTCACTTGCGAGCCTTGGTCATCCTTCCCACTAAAGATCTTGCAAACCAGGTCAAACAAGTTTTTGAAATGTTTGCTGAGGGAACAAACTTACGGGTGGGACTGGCTTCTGGATCAAAATCTTTTGCTAAAGATCAGGAACAGCTTGTTAATCCTAGGTGAGGTTTGCTTTTTCTTAATGATGATGATTTGTCCATCAGGAGATCAGGTAACCAGAAAATACTGACCCTCAGTCTGCTGTTCCCCACTGTAGACAGGGTCCATGGACTACCCCAGGGCTGGGTTCACAAACCCCTTCTAAGGACCACTTCTAAAATAAAATGATAAATAATAAGTAAAGATCTGACTTACTGGTTTTGTCGATAGACCACTCATGTCAGCTTGTGGTACCATAGAGGAGGCCTGTAGGGTAGTCTGTGGACCTAGTTCATATTGGGGGTCTAAAGACTAAAGCTCGGTATTTTGGGTTACCCTAGGGGATTGTTACTTTATGAACTTACAGTAGTCTTTGCATTATTTCAGCTCTTGCGGCAGTAGCAGCCGTGTTGATATTCTCATCTGTACGCCTGGGAGGTTAGTTGATCACATCTCGTCAACTCCAAACTTCACTCTTCATCATGTAAGGTTCCTAGTGATTGATGAAGCTGACCGTCTCTTGGATCAGTCTTATCATGGCTGGCTCAGTAAAGTACTCAAGGCTGCTTATCACAGGCAATCTACAAGTGGTGTCTTCAAGAATGACAGGTTTGGTGTGCATTACAAGCTGATAAATCGATACAACATATCAAACAGGCATTTGCCACAGTATTTTGTCATCATCTGGGTGAGTGTAGTACAGGAAAGGACTGTTGTTGGTGACTGATGTTTTGATCAAGTTGATCATTCAGAACAAATTATCGTAAACATCCAGTAAATTTAGGTGTTCAAAGTATCAGTCAACGAGTCCTTACAAAGGAAGAATTAGTCTCACCAGGATGATAACACTAGACAAAGTATTATTCATTCAAAAGCATTGTGCCCTCCATACGAATTGCAGAACAACTGTAAATGCTAGGTCTTTTTCCTTAAGTAGCATTTAAGCAAAGTTTATTTAATCATTACCGAGTACTTCAAAATATTGTGTCCTCAATTGCAGGCCTGTCTCTTGTAGCCTCCAAACGATCAGGAGTCCCCCAGGATTGCATACTGCAGCTAGTTTCGCCAGTATCCAGCTTCCCTTACAGAAGTTGTTGTTCTCAGCAACAATGACACACAGCCCTGAAAAGCTTGCTCCTCTGCAACTGTATCAACCAATCTTGTTTACTGTGACAGCAAGTGTCAATCAAACAAACAACAGTGGAGAATCTACTGCAGGTACAAGATGTCTCATGCTGTGTCATCTTAACATTTGTGAAGTTAATTTCTATTATACTCTATCAAATATTTTCGCTTGTGCGCGATTGGTCTAAACGTGCCATGTGACTGAATATTCCCCAACCAAAACTGGGGAATATCCGAGAATATTCCCCAGTTTTCAAAACTGCACGTATTGCAAAAAATATTTGAAGGATAATAAACACACTAGCCTCCATTTGGGGCAAAAATATGCTCGGATATTTGTCCTTGGACATTATCTGTTCCTCAAAGCTCACAGTTTTCCACAAGCTATGATCTCAGAAAACTGTTCACTTCTCGGAACAGATAATGTCCGCAGACAAATATCCTAGCATATTTTCGTGCCAAATGGAGGCTATTGTTTATATATACTACAGTTATTATATGGCCATGTCTCACATGGACTGGGAACTACCGAATTTATGAATTTGATTGGCTGAAATTGATATTGGCCTCGATGTAGACTTTCCCATCTAAACCAGCATCTAGACCAGTTACATTTTGCAATGAAAAAGTTGCAAACTAAAATACAAAAATATTGACTATTTTCTTTTTTAAATGGAGAGGCCAAAAAGCCTGATAAGAAAGAAAGGTAAAAAGACAAGCAAACTTTGACAGATTTAAGTTCAGCTCATTGTCATTCACTAGCAAAATACCAGTTACATTAAACAAATTAAATTTTTCTTGTTTGCCATATGATAAACATTTTGTCAACCAGGCTTAGTCAGTCTATTTTTAAGAATCTTGACCTTAGTCAAGTGTACAAACCTTACTGCATTTGGTCTGTACTTACAACCTTGGTCACGATTCTTCCATACAGACCTCCTGCTCGCTTAATAAGAGCTAAGTAATATATACTACTTTAATTTCTTGAAAAAAATACTCTCTGGCTGTTTGACTACAGCTCAACTGTCCTCAACTCTCCTTAGCCCAGAGATAAGTATTGTAGATTCAAGCAAAGAAACTTCAAACATTTTACTTAGCGATGGCAGTACAGTCAGTTATTAGCCCATGTACATGTAGTGTAACTGATCTACAAACACTCAAAAATCTATTAATCTGTAATAATTATACACTTTTTTTTTGTTAGTCCTTTATACTGTAAAGAGGTACACAGCAGCTTGACTGACTTATTTCCAGATGTGAAATCATAACATTTAGTCAAAATATGTTTAAATTTTCAATGTTCTGTAGCTCCTGACTGTCTTAGTGGCTATATACATTTATTTTTGTTCAAAAGAAACTCTACACTGTCCAAACCGACTGTTCATTTCACGTTAATTAGGAATGTCACAAATATGTGTTTGTAATAATTTGTGTTTTCGGCTATGTACGTGGATTTAAACTTCTGTGTGATTGCTTGATTTCCTTAGATGCGACAACAGCTGGTCGTTACAGCATTCCAGAAGGATTATCAGAATATATGACAGTGTGTAACAATGGAGAGAAGCCTCTAATGGTGTTGTACTTTTTAACCCAACTGAAGTTTCAGCGAGTTTTGTGTTTTGCATCTTCCCTGGAGGCTACCCACAGGTAATGCATGTAGTTGTGTTTCAAACTGACATCATCCCAACTTCTGAGCTCTTGCACCTTCGCAGTTCTTAAAGGAGCTATGTCACAGTTTGCGCATCTTGAAAAGTTTAGCCTAAATTTTCCAATTTTATCATTTGTAATCAATTTTAATCTTCTCCATCATTAATCATCCTTGTTTCATTACAGTTTGTTATTGTCTCTGGTGTTTTTCTGTCTTTGCAAACTACTATTTTCAGGTTTCCTTCAGTTTTGAGCTAATTTGCTACTCAGCCAAAACAACTCAAAATGCCCTTAAAAAAACAAAAATCCATAACTGACAGAATTCTCCAGGGTTCATTGGTCTACAGCTAAAGTCGATGAAAGTATACCATGAAAATGTAGTGCGACCCAAAATGATTTTCAGATTTTTTTATTGTCCCAACATTTTCCAGTAAACGGAAACCAGAGTGTCATGAAATGTAAATTGGGACTTTTGGGATGAAATTTCTGAAAAAATCCTGTTGGTCTCAAGGGGAAAAAGTGATCTTTTGCGACGTCGCTCATGCTCCACCTTTCGATTTTGCATTGATACACCAGCTTAATTTAAACATTGTATTTAAAAAAATAGGTAAACCACATTGTTTTTCAGTGGTCTACATTCTAGGCATTCTCCTAACGTCAGAAAACGTCCAAAGTTGTCTTCTGACAGTTTTATGACGTTGTTACTACATGTAGTATGGTCAAGAGATTATGATTTTCTCTTGCTATGGTTGATTAGATAGGAAAATGTGGTGGGTTTGTCTGACAGTCCTGTTTGTAGGTCAAGTAATTTTGCGTAGTCCTTTAATGTAGGAAGGCATGGTGGTGTTATGGTTAGTGTGCTCAAATCCAGATCAAGCGGTCTGGGTTCAAGCCCTGGCCATGGATATTGTGTTGTTTTCTTGGCTAAGACACTTTACTCTCACAGTGCCTCTCTCCACCCTGCTGTGTAAATGGATACTGGCGAATTTAATGCTAAGGGTAACCCTGCGATGGACTAGCATCCCATCCAGGGGGGAGTAGAAATACTCCTAGTCGCATTATGCTACAGAAACTGGGATAAGCTCCGGCCTGATGGGTCACTTGGCTCATATGCAGCCTTCATCCTTAAATTTAACAACAATAATTTGTCATTTTCTGTAGACTTTATCTACTCGTGAAGCTGTATGGTGGTGTACAAGTTGCAGAATACTCCTCAAGCTTGACTCCTAGGCAGAGAAAAGGAATCTTACGCGACTTTAAAATCGGCAAACTACAACTTCTTATCTGTTCCGACGCCATGGCGAGGGGAATGGACATACAGGATGTGTCATACGTCATAAGTTATGACGTACCCAACTACGTCAGAAGCTACATTCACCGTGTGGGGAGGACAGCGAGAGCGGGAAATAAAGGTAAATTAGGTTCACGCTCTTGTGAGATGTGAGAATTGAATGGCTGATCAATCAGTGCCATTATTTGATGACACATGTACGAAAGTACCCGGATGATAGTCGTACGCGTCATTTAAGTGAGATGGCGGGAAAACGTCCTCAGACGCGCCGCCGCGTGCAACAAAGCTTCGGGATAGATTGCATCAATATTTTCTAGTTTTTACAAAATTTGTATAAAAAAAAATGCTACAATGGAATCCGACATAAACAAGCAAAAAATGCAACTTTCCCCGCTTATTATTGGAAGTTCAGTTTCCTAATTTCCATGTTGTATTCTCAGGCCCCATCCACTCTACGCCGGAGAAATTTGAAAAACGCAGCTTATTTTCTACGGTTAGGCCTACCGTCCACACTAATCCGTCACGAAAACGGAGCTTTTGGAAAGCGGTTTTCAAACCGGACGAATTTGAAAACGCCGGCTTTGCGTCTTAACGTGGACAGAAAACATTTTGAAAACGGAGCTTTTCGAAAACGATGACATCACGATGACATCACGATGACATCATCATGTGATTTCCCTGACTGAATTTTCCTCAAACACAAATCCAAAATGACCAGTGATTGTTGCGTTTTCAAATTTCTCCTGCGTAGTGTGGACGGAAAAGATTTGATGCGCTTTCACTCCCGTTTTCAAATTCTCCGGCTTAGGGTGGACGGGCCTCAAATGCCACAGAATATACAATGAATTGCATACGACAATCCTCTAGAACAAAATAGAACAAGCGTTTTGGGCACGAAGTTTCAGGATAACAAGAATTCAAGTGAATCTTTTAGTCTCTATATTTTTTCTCTTTTTTAGTAATATTGTTTCCTCTCGCCACTTTTGGTCAGACTCGTATTCAGTCGCTGTTAACGTGTTTTGGAAAGAGAAGATTAGATACTAGGGTCGTGTGGGGTTTCATGGGAGGGGTCGAAGGAAATACAACGTTGTTATTTTTTTCCCTGCCTCTTTCCATAAATCCTCGCGCGTTGCACTCGATCCAGACCGCTTTCCCTTTGAAACAATCCAATCTGACCCGTAAATAGCGACTGGGTACAAGTCTGACTTTTGGTGTTTATATCGTTAGGAACGGCCATTACTCTTCTCCATAGCGACGAGGTGCACCATTTTAAAGAACTAATTCAGAAGACAGGCCGCGAAAAGATTGCCAAATACAACATCAAAGATGAGAAACTACAGTCAATGGTAGAAAAATATCAAGACACGCTTGAGAGACTACGAGATGCTGTGAAGTTAGAAAGTCAAAAGAAAAGTCAACAGAAAGGGAGACATGAAATTATAAAATTATTAGAAGAACAGTTGATGAGTAATGTGCTTCAAAGAAACTCTGAAGGAAACAAGTAGTCTCGTAAAATATTTGCTGTAAAATACATGGATTTGTGCGTTTTGTGGAACAGTCACATTTTAGATTGAATATTGCATTATTAACAGATTTTTCTGGCGAATATGAATAAAATAATCATTAATTTAGATGGATTTGTCTTATTTGGTTCTTAGTTTAAAAAAGTGTTTTAATGCAAGCTAACAAGGAATTTCGCATAAACGTTGTGAGAAGATTGAGGAAAACAGGAAGTACTTGTTTTAGACTGGTTTCATTTTTGACCGGTGAATTGCCATAGCAACTTGCGAGTCGAAGTGGGTGGTAAGATTATGCACCAGGTATGCAAATGAGGGGTCTTTCTATCGTCCGTCAAGTTTCTGTGGTAATTCTGCCGACCAGTAGATAAGGCTAGTGCAGTCACTGGGTTAGTCAATATGGCGTCCGCATATATCATTTTACATTTCTTGATTAACGTATTACGTAAGTGCGATTGTTGCACGAAAAATGGAGACTTCTTTTGTTTGCTTGTTCATTTGACATTTTAATGAAAGTTTCAATCTGAAATTAACGGTAAACTACGAATAAGGTTTTTGTTCTTTCCAGGGGGAAGAGGGCGGGGTCACTGTTTTTAGCGGCTGTTTATCGAGCCCGTGACTAATTTCACAGGACTCGCTTTGATGCCGAGGCAAAAAAAATTTCGATCTTTGACAAAGGCGAACTTTTATCTTTTTATCCATTTTTTTTCTTTTATAATTTACTGATTATATTTGAGCTACACGCATTTCTTTAAGATTGCTCGACGTGTTCTCAAGGGTGATTCATGGAATGTAGATACTATTAATAATCATTTCGATTTTCAAATAAACAATGGATGGGCCTATATCGGTATATAAAAATTCTAACTTGGCTCCGAGGCTTAGGGCAATAAAACAAAGGAAATTAATTAACTATTTGTCATCCTCGGTGCGATTTCTTTTGTTTTATTCCCCTAAGCCTAGGACCCAAGTTCGAATTTTACATGCAGCTTTTTTTGTCACCATACTTTCTCGCGAGAAAGAACGCTGCCGTCGAAGTCGTTCAAGCTACGGGTCCAGGATTTCAAAAAGCATGGGTTTACAAAGCTTCCCTTGAAGACAAACAGCATTTAGAAACTCCTTGTGGGTGATCAAATTCGCCAGCTTTTCCAGTTTTGTTGCGGAAAAGCGAGTTAATTTTCGAGCCAACAGTTTGAACAAGAAGCACTCGTGGCAGTGATGCAAACCAAGTGCAACATTCCTATATTTTTTTCTCAGCAAAGTTGAAGAGGTAAGACTTTATACTTGACATCTGTTAACTTTTACTAAAATGGTTTTACAAACAGTAAGCGTCTAATTCCGTTCCCACCCGCCTTTCTACGACCTCAACTGATGGTCGAGCTATAATTTGTTCTCGGCCGGTTCTTGCATTGGAATTCTGCTAAGCTTATCTTCGATTCTAATCCTATAACATCCATGATTCCAACACAATGTCTGAGAACTTCGAAGATGAAATTACCCAGATATTTTTCAAGAAACTCGGTGTAAAGACCTGTTAAATTTCAACAAGCCCTGAACTTATCTTTGTTCAAATTAATCGGTTTTGGGTTATGGGATAATTTTCGCAGCTTTGTTATCAGAGGAATTTTAATATTTAGAAATGCTCCGGCTCAAAGCTAAATCTAAAGAACAGACTCTTGATCTACTGAGGGATTGTTATCTAAGTATATTTAGGTTTGGTACTGAGGGTTTGATAACTGCTGCGATGAGAGAGGAACGGGTCCACGATATCGAAGTTTTTAAAAGCTTAAAAGCTTTTATCGGGTAAAAGAATATTCGGAATATCTTAGAAAATCGTATTTTTCTCTCGTGCTTAAAATGACATATCATTGATTGTTTTTTTTTTTTTGTACACATGTAGCTTTTTTAATAGGCCTTACTGGTCGTCCGCTGGTCAAGAAGCTGTTTACCGAAGACTGAAGCAATCCATGAAATTCTTCATTTTCAATGCATGGTGAGTTGTGAAATGAACTGCCCTGTTTTCAATGTATTGGCCACACACGCCAAGCTTTTTCTGCAAGTTTGTGATACTGTTTTAGGGAAAATTACAACTGAACTCAATTGTCTGCGTAACAACTATCCATCCTTCTATTTAGCACATTTACCAGCTAGAAACCCCGGTACCCATTTGTTTGTCTCCAGTTTCAGCGAAGTTAACTGGATTCTTCGAAACTAATTTTGGTAAACTGAGGTTATCTTAACCTGCATCTTGAGTTTTAGGAGAAATTTAAGATTTCAGTGAGCTTGAATACTTGCACCGTCGTTCTTTTCAAGCTGAACCTTGAGCCAACAAAAGAGGAAAAATATTTTAAAACTCTCTTCCAAACGATTCGATTTTCACACAATCAGGGCAAGGAGATTAAATATGTTCCTCCAAAATTGAAATATAATTAGGTGTCCGAGACTTAAGCACTTATTCAGTATTATTTCTCTTTTGCAGCTTGAATTTTCCCCGTGGAGCTCTTAGCATTTCATTAACAGGAGGAGTGGAAACCGAGATAGAGAGCTGTTGTTGCATGTCACCCCAAATCCAGGTAAGCCTTGAATGGTCACAGTTACGTATATAAACAGTTTCGGTGCACGAAAAGAAAAACAATCATATCTAACGTAACAATGCAAGAGAATATGTATGTCACATGTGACCTATTTTTCCTTGTTTGACCCATTTTCTAAGTGTGACCATTTTTCCAAGTGTGACCCATTTTTCCCTTTGCGAATTATTTTTCCAAAACTGACACATTTTTCAAAGTGTGACCCATTTTTCCGTTTGTGACAATTTTCCAAATGTGACCCGTTTTTCCAACTTTGACTCATTTTTTCCAGATGTGACCTATTTTTCCGTTTGTGGCCCATTTTTCCTAATGTTACCCATTTTTCCCAGTGTGACTCATTTTTCAAATGGACGAATTTCTCCATATGTGACCCCTTTTCCCTTTTGTGACCCATTTTTACATTTGTTACCCAGTTTTCTTTGTGTGACCCATTGTTTTCAGATTGATCTGTTTTTCCAAGTCTGACCAATTTTTCCCTGTGTGACCCATTGATCCATGTGTGACCTATTTTTCTAAATGTGACCTATATTTTCCTTCCTGACCCTTTTTTCCAAGTGTGATCTTTTTTCCAAGTGTGACCCATTTTTCCATGTGTTACCCTTTTTTCCAAGTTTGACCCATTTATCCCTTATTAATATATATAAGACCACTGCTTTTCTACTGACGTATTGGGATTTCAAGGCTTTGAGTTGTACAGAATATAAATTTCCAACTGAAATGTTTAAGCGGAACGAGACTGGGTGAAATGTAACTGGTTATAAAAATGGATGGAATAGAATACTTGAAAGCAGATTGTATTAAAGGATTAAACCTTTCGACAACTTCAGGGAAAATCTCTTTTCTTTTTAACCCCGAATCGTTTTCACTGTTCATGTAGGATACATTTTTGAAACGTCCTTCCAAACTAAGTTTACTCTTTGTTCTAAATTTCAGGATTATAAATTGTAACAACTTGAAGAAATATCAAGAGAGAATCACAATCAAGCAGAACAAGGGATAATTGTAAGTATCTCTACAATTATTACACTTTTCAAGTTCTTTCTCGGTGAAACGTCTTACAGGCAACCTGTCATTTTGTTGGGGCAATGCACTCGCTCGGGGAGGGGGCTGGGTGGGGCGTTGGTTGGTCGTTGACAGAAACATCGCGCACTGCAATTTACTGCATTTATAAATTCTAGAGTTTAATATTTTTACAAAGCATCGTTTACTAAAGGCTGTGTCTTTATCTTTGGAATGAGGGGTGGACGGGTGAAGGCAGTGGGAAGTACTCATTATTTTCCTTTTGTCACTCGGTAGTTTCTGTTGCAACATTGACACTTCGTAAAGTCTAAGAAAATTGTCTGCTTTAGCCAAAAATATTATTCGCAATAGTTTGATATATATATTTGTGCATTAAAGTCTTCCCTTTTTCTCTCCATAGTCGTTACATTTTTAATGAGACTTTTGCATTTCACCAGAACTTTTTTACCTTTAAGATGAGTGTTTAATTTTTCGACAATTGTGTGAGAAAACGTCTCGCATACACATGCCAATAACTCTAATTTAGAGTCTGTTTCCCAAACTGTCTTTAGTAGATCCTCTTTTCCATGTTAAAATCTGCCATCTTAAATTCTAAAATTATGTGCTAGGAATAATGCTGGTTTGCCTTAATAAAAGTGTTTTGTTTTGGCGAATATAAGAATGCCTCGTAGCAAACCATCAGGAAATTAACGACCTCTACGTTAATTATAAAAACATGAAAAATTTTAATAAATCTTGAAAGCATTTTACAGAAGAACAGCTGTAATTCTAAAATTATCACATGAAACACGAGTTGAACTGTTAAACGAAACCTTGTCTTCTATACGGTATAGGTAAGGTCAAATTCTGCAGCTGTCAAAGTTGTAAAGGAAAAAACAGTTTAAACGAAAACAAACGAGGTACAGGAAAAGACGGTATCAAACGGTACACTGTTGAAGCCATAGCAACAACAAGAATTATTGAGACTCTGCTGGATGTATTACTTACAAAGGACAGTGTGCCAACCGATGTCTGCAACTAATTTCACCTCATGTAGAATATTTAATTATAGAAATGGTAATAAAGATCAGCAGATCGAAGCTGAAGGCAATTATTACGTTCAAAGATCAAATTTGCTAACCATCGATCTTCTTGCTTTACTTCTGTTGGGTCTACCATCCTTCTTTAAAGGACACAGGACGTTCTCAAATTCATTAATGATTCATCTTGTTTAAACGAAGGAAATCATAACCGTGGCGGTGTTTGGATATCTGATCTTAACTAGCATAGATGTTTACGATTTTATTTCTCCTTTTTGTCCTCAGCTTTATATCCCAAATGATGCTTTTTACCTAGTGCATCGTTTACGTCTACGTATAAACCTTTTGAAATAAATGTCTATTCGTTTTGTAAAACATTAGTGTTATGTTCAATACTGTTCTCTCAGTTGTGAATGGGCTTTTGTTTTTAAGTTTGGCTTCTTCCTGTAATGTGAATGTATTCTTAAGACATGCCTGTGTGATGAAGAAAATCCACATTTTTATGACGTCGTGCAGATTTTTGTTTCCCTTTACTTCGTTGAAGATGGTGGGAGGCTATTGGGTGTTATTATCGTGATGTAATACTCAATTCTCCGAACTATGTTTTAACTAATATTTGGGACGAAATGGAATGAATTTATTAAGTATTTTGTATTGTAGTCAAATTTTTTATTTCTTTACTTGACAACGTGAATACAATGTTGTTAAGAAATCAGTGCAGTGAAAAAGAAGTGGAAAACGCAAAATATAGTAAACGAATTATATGCCCTTTGTTTTGTTCTGGTTGAAATGCAAAGGTCTTTCTTTTTATTTCCTTGGTTAATCCTTGTTGTAAAGGTGTTATGAAATTATTGGGTAGTTTTTATCAGTAAAATTGAGAGGTATAGTGAATATCTCTGTACTTTTTAGCCCCCTAAAATTATTTTTTCTGAACATTTTGTCGAGAAA